GATTAGTATTGCCATAATGCAACCCTGCTGCGAGGTTGCAAAATGTAGACGCGTAAAAAACATACCTTTGAGTGTGACAAAATGTAGACGGCGTCGTTTTCCAATTTTGTATGGGAAACAACAACACCACAGATTTTACGGTTAGAAAACGTCTTAAAATGTAGACGTCTACATTTTGAGACACTATTTGGAACGAACTGTGAACACCCCAACTGCTTTACTCTCACTTGAGAGTAAAATTGTAGTTGGACACACAATATAACCAGTAAACAACCTTGGCGAATGCCTTCCTCGAGGATGAATATGCCAGGGATGAAATTATTGGTACACAGGCCTTCTAAGCACGCAGAGTTGCTTTTGTGAAACAAAAAATAATTAGCTCAAAATAGTTTCAAAAATTATAGTGTAAAACAAAATTTATTGAATAATTCTACATAAAATTTTAAATGACTTACCATGTAAACTATTGGAGTAAAACTTGTTTCATTACCGTTTTTGTGCAAAATGAAAACGACTATCTGAACGTTCGAAGTGCTGCAATGAGCAACTACAGAAAAAATACTGCTCTGGTGTTACTGCTGCCGTGGTGAATATATGTTTCTATTTATTTTTCCTCTGTTTACGCGAAAAACAATGCAGGTAGTAATTTTCACTGAATTTCTTCAAGAATCTATACATTTTATGCTATTTTTATAATTCCTCGAATTTTATGTATTAGCAAGAACAAGGAATATGGCTGAGGTAGGCTTAACCATCTTGGCGATGGGCTGTTTACCTGCTGGATATTTGCAATCTCATTTGTAAAAGTATACGAAATATTTCTTTTTGAGTGAATTTAAAACTAAAGGAATAAACTGCTTAAGATTTCGGGCAGCTGTTTCTTGCAAGTTCAAGTGTACGAAGATCGCTGAGGGTCAATGGGAAAGCCTTTGGATAAATTGAACCGACATTTCTGCAACATGAATTAACATGAACCAATGCCATAAGTCTCTGGTGATGACCATGACTTTGTTGTGGAAATAATATGTACAT